GTGTGTGTGTGTGTGCGCATAATACTCCCGTGTCTCTATATGAATGAGTGGATGCAGTGGATGGCAGGCAGCTGCAGGAGTGTGATAGCTGAGCCGAGCTGCACAGATATCAACGCTGACATTTTGGGCTTCACTACCCACCCACGGCCCCATGGGAAAGTGATGGCAATGGCAGCGGCAGTGGCCACATCCCCCACCACCACCACCACCCTAACCCCTCCCTCTGCCTGTCAATCTCAACCCTGCGCTCTTCCTGATGCTCTGTCGGCCTCGGCGTGGCCCTGGCTGGACCTATTATGCCATGCAGCAGTTGAATACACTCCTGCGACCCACCGCTACCAGACCCTGCACCGCACTGCTGATTCCTATCTGGCCCTCAAGCCTCCCACCCCACCCACCAACCAACCAACTCTCTGCCTCTTCATTCAATCTTTCATTTCTAGCTGCCAGACTGATAGCCCTGACCACAGAGAGACAAACGATAGAGAGGGCTCGTGTGTGCGTGTTACTGCCGACTAGAAGACAAACAGTCAAAGAGTGTGAGCTCTACAGTATCAAGCAGCAAGAGGAGGGAGGGGGAACTGCATAAACTGAAAGAGAGGGAACAGATAACAGGGAGATGCTCTCTGGCCCCTCCTCTAGCCTTCTTTTGGGGCACCTCTTGGCCTCCTCTCCCTCTTCTGCCTCACCCTCCCTCCTTCCCCCTCCCCACCCACCCCCGGGCCCTCTGGTGTGTTGCTCACTCCATTGTGTCAGCCTTCAGAAGTGCTCAGTTTGAGTGGCAGGCCGTCACAGATCAGTTCCCTGCTAAAGCGGCCCGGCAGGCCAGGGTGACGGGCCAGGAAGGGATCTAAGTGGGGTTTATCAGCGCTTCTTAACGCCTCTCCAGCTCCCTGACACAAAAGAGAGGGGGTATTAAACATCTAAAGCAAACCAAAAAGCGTGAAAGCTCCTTATAGGGCCGCGGGATTGCGGATGTGACTCGAGTTTTAAAAAAAAATAGCAAAAAAAGAAAAAAGAAAAAGGAAAAGAAAAATAAGGAGAAAAAAAAAACACACAAACGCCTCAACAGTGAGGAAGCATTGAGGGAAAATTCAAATGTTTTTTTCTGTGCTGTGTGGATGGAAGAGTGAGTGGGTGGGAGAGGAGGAGAGGAAGAGAACGATGGGAGAGAGAGCATCTTAAGGATGAAGATGGAAGTTAGCAAGCGTAAACTAGCTTAACAATGCTTTCTAGCTTACCAACTGTTTTACACTGATCACACTCATATATGAAGCCTACATTAGTTCCAAAGTTGAACAAAAGAATGCCTAAAATAGACATAAAACACAAAAACACAATATCACTTAATGACTGCAACAAAATTAAAGACTTGCATAAACCAAAATGATTCTACAGGCAGCGAGAGTCAGATTTTTAAATTCAGATTTTGTCTTTTACATATATTCAAGCACACAAACAAATGTCAGAATTTCACTTCATGCCCATTTGAAGGCCTCCCACAGAGCAGTGAACAAACAGAAGGTTTTCAAATATCATCTTTTGAAAAACAACGTAGCTCATATGTAAAACTAGCAGTACTGCATTAAGTCTGCATTAAACAAGGCTTCCAAACTACTTTCTGTTTATTCACCAACATTACATTATATAAAAGAGTATTATGACAGGTCTTTTTGCTTGGTAGATTAAGATGTTAATGGGAAAAGACTGAAGGGCCAAAACTCACGTCTAAGTGTGCAGATGTTGCTTACACACGATGGTGAATAGGCCGTCTTCATAAAATGAATTCAAACATGCAAAAAGCACAAGTAAGTAGTAAAATTAATGATGGCTGAATTCCATTTCGCTGCATCAGTTTCAGGGTCTTGTTATTGTTGATGCTGGCTTACTGTCACAGTGTCATGGTTTACTGGGACAGATGTCATTAGTAGCATCTGTGCTTCCCCTACCATGACAAACCAAACTGTCTGCTGTGGAAAAAAAGGTCTCTTGTTGGATTTGCTGCTTTGGACTGTGTAAAAAAGTTAATTTTGCTGTCCACCCATTTGCCCATAAAAAATACATATATAAAAAAACAGAACA